TACTACGAAGCTGCTTGTAAATAAACCAGGTGAGTTGATTGTTTGTATTACCTTATATCAGTCCATGTATCTGTCTTATTCGCAGGAATAATCAACTTTGGAAGTTTGTGTTGCTTGCATTAATATGGTCGAAATGAATTCAATGTCATCTCAGTCCGTCAAACTTTCATTTTTACATGTAAAGTTAGGTCTATTATATTTTGATGCCTTTTCATAGTATGTATTTCATTTACATTTATGTCCAAGTGGGAAAATAAAAGTCGTTATCGCATTCATCAGCCAGTTACCCTGAGATTTCAGCGTGAGCTCCAGTTTTCTTCAGAAAATCCATTCAATATGCCTATAAAATACTGTAGGCTGAGAAATACGAACACGAATATGTGTGAAAAAGTGGCAGAAAATTTTGCTTATATCACATATTTTACGAACAAATTTATTAGGCATCTGCAGCCCATCAACGCTTAGATAGAGTGATAGAAGGATTATCAACATCAGCAAATAATTATGTTCATACAGTGAATATTTCGTTATTAAGCTGTCGTTCCTTGTCTTTTTAAACTTCGTTTAAGATGCTCCCTTAATTTCATTAGGTTTGTTTTTCATCGACGACACTTACACTTCATTATCGTCCTTCCATCTGTCACCAACGAGCGATAACATCACGCGATACAGATGTGAAGCCTATGGCGTAGCGCTTGGGGATAGGAATGGAAGTCACGTTTCAGTCACCGTCAGCAAAGACGCCTTTCCGTCTCATGCAGGTCGGTAAAGGGATAGCTTATCTTTTTAACCCTCTCTCTGTATTTGACTACATTCTGTGTAGGCCTATTTCGAGGCTTTAAATGAATTTGCATGTCCATACCTCCACATGAAGTTTACACAATTTCAGAAAATAGAAAGCAACAACCATTGAGCAAAAGACTGCTTATTAGGGAACTATATTTTAACCAAATGACGTGCATAAAGTATATAGTTATAGCTATATACTTTATGCACGTAAAAGATTAATGAGTAAAAAGTTCCTTGAAGAAACAAAATGTACCGGTAAAGTGCTTATACAGGATTTTAGACCATTTGGTTTGGTTTAGCTGCTTTGATAGTTGATATACTTAATATCAACATGAATAGCTACTAGTGTGCATCGAGCATGTTGATATCTGGTTTAGTTCCTCATCAGAGGGCACAGTAGGGCCAATAGCACTCAGGGCGTTATGAAACACATAATCGGCTATGAGACCTAACTGCTGAGTGACAGACGAGCAAAATAAGGTTTAATATTTGTTTCGTTTTTGAAAGCTGAAAGTCAGGCTTCGTGGCGTGCATTTTAATATAAAAACCGTAAACGCAGATACCTTTCGCGATAAGCATAAATGTGACAGCTGGTTAAGTCATTTTGACGCACAACTAAAAGTCAATTAAGATCGAAATCTATGGAAATTATAAAAAGGTTTACTTGAGGTGTTCCATTAAAGACATTTATTGTCTGGACTCCTTATCTGGTATTGATTTTGTTTTATCAAGATTGGAAGGCTTTCTTAGATCGTGGCCGACGTGGCATTGTACCTTGCTCCCCTGATGCGGCTTGGGCACACCAACGTGGAGACCTACAAGGCGTGTACTGGTATTTCCGCCAGAGAGACAGGGAACACGTTATTTTCTCCTACTTTCAAGGTGCAACTGTGCCCCTAGACGGTATTCCTGAAGGCATGTACAATGTCACCAGCAACTTCAGTTTGATCATTCAGAACGTCACCGACTCACACGAGGGGACTTATCATTACGTAGTTGAGTCGAAAGTTGGTCAAATAGACAAGGGATCCGTGGAGGTAGTTATTACAGGTTAGTGAAATTGAATTTGCTTCACACAAAAACCAAGAAAAATTGTTATGAATTGCAATTGCAATGCCAATGATTGTTCCTAATCATTTATCGTGCATATGTATATAATATGCGACCACTACATTTAGTTTAACTGTGCATTTTTCCCACTGGCAGTGACTGCACCCCAACCGTTTCCCGTCGTTCCTGGATGTGACCCACGTCCATCAGGACCTGATACTTGCATGTTACAAGTACCGTACGACACAATGACTGTCAACCTTACATGTCAAGTCGACCATGCCAAACCTCCGGTAGACCTCCAGTGGTTCCGTGTGTTTCATAATGGTTACACCGAGCACGTAGAATCTACTACTACTACTACGATGTTAGTTTATCAACCAGGTGAGGTTTTGGTGACTCATATTTCTTCATCTGCGTCTGCCAACTTATATGAGTTCCTACACTGTAAACCGTGTTTGAATATGTGAGGCCATGACCCGTACTAATGGAATTCTTTGAGCCCACCCATGAAAAGAGCACTGTTCAATTCCCTAATTGAACTTAATCCTTAGCCCAACTTCAATAAAGTAATTCTAGAGCACTATCCGTCCGAGATCTGAAAAGATCTCAAAATGATGGTGCTTTAGTGATACGCATTGAAATATCGATAAAAAATGTTTTTTTAAAGCAGCAATTTTAACTTTGTCACGGTGATGCTTTCAGATAGACCAACCTAAATCCAGACTTGCACAAAACAGGGCCAATCCAGGCAATACGTGAATGCAGAAGAAAAGAATGCGAACCCTATATAGGCAGGTGTCTGATCCGTGAAGTTTAATTTTTCAGGTTCATCTTTTGACAACACTTACGTGTCATCATCGATGTTCCATCTGTCACCAACAAGTAACGACAGCATGGTGTACAGGTGTGATGCTTATGGCGTAGCTCTAGGGGACAAGAATGGAAGTCACGTTTTAGTCACCGTCAGTAGAGACCAACTATCGATTGATACAGGTGAGACACGAGTCGCTTTCACTTTCACCATGAAAAGGGTTTGTGACATTCGTCAAGTTTTAAAACAATTACTCTTTGTAACATAAATCTGGTAATATGAAGTGATATTCTGTCGGTTTTAATCTAGGTCCACGTCGTAACAAAATCACCGCGCTGATACAGTGCTCAGTAAGTCACAGCTTCAAAACCCGACTCAGTTGTTTTCTGTGTTGAAAACAATATTTTTTGTGTGAGATTGATAAGAAATGTATGAAGTGGGCTAGTTTAATAATGTGTTAAATTTAAGCGGAATAATAACGATTAATTCACGGGATATAAACCATTAAATTGAAAATAACTAAGCGAAGAGAGCATTATACAGTTTTACTATATTTTTTGTACGAATGGGCAATTAAGTAGCTTAAGGAAACAACTGTCTGTTTTACCCTGTACATCTCATTCAGGTACGACTCAAGAGACGGCGAGCAGCAGTCCTCCAAAAAATGTTCAAACTGCTCTGATTGTCTTGGTGGTGATATTTGGCTTGCTTTCACTTTTCTTCGTTATCATTCTGCTGGTAAGAGGATGATTAGAAAGTCACTCAAACAGTGTGCCGATTGCGTGCACACAGACCATATTATGGTTTGCTCATTTCATAATGTAAACACTCTAAATACGTCGCTATTATGCGCGTGGTTTAGTGCACATAAGGGCATTAGGCCCTATGGCCAAAGAAAATTCTTGTTCAATATCACCAAACGTTGTTGACATTCTAACTGTACCATGGAATTACTTTCTAATGAAAATGCTCTTTCCATCGTCGTGGATTATAGTGTACACAAGCCCATTATTGCCAAAAAACGTCGTTTTCAAGAATAGTTCTATCATGGGATGAAGTACGCATTATGCATGAAAATGAAATGGTGAAAAAAATCCTCGGGAAATGTCTTCATTACCTGCATTTTCTGCAAATCATAGTTGCAATCAAATGCCTGCAAAGATTATATGTACAAACGCTAGACAACGCGAGCTACTTGGTGAATCGCTTACAGTTTGGCGAAAGGATCAAAACACTGGGTAAAAAGGGAGTACAAATAACATTTTCCACAATCTTTCGGTAAAATAAAACAAGTTTGCCCATAAGGAGAGAACCAGTGCGGATGGGTAATCTATTTGCCCAATAGTTAGGCGGTTCATTCACCTGGTACCCAAGGTTGGTTAAAATTGCCCTGCATATAAATACTTAAAGCATATGACTCGATGAGCACGCCCCACGTCTAGAAATTCATAACGTTTATAACAAAGAAATCAACATTAAAATGTTTTAGATAACATTTTTACAGCCACTGTACTATTAGGCTGCCAATGGACCTGACTGGCCATCAGTACCTCATTTACAATCATGGCTCAGACACAGAGGTGGCAGGAAGTCACATTTTGCAAGT